AGGAAACAGGCTGCATTTTAGAAGATAGGTGTGTGGGCGTGGGTGTGCGCACCTTGTGTAGACATTTCCTCCACAGTAGTCTCGCTTGCTGGTTTTCTTTATTAGGAAGTGTGATAAGCTATTAATTTTTGTTTATGGTATGAAATAGGATCCAACTTTTTTTTTTTTCCTAGATACACAATGTCTATGCATAGGTCTGTCTCTGTCACTTCGATCTGTTTTCTGTCCCCAGCCAGTACCACACTGTCTTGATGATTCTAGTGGAAAATGACAGGACTTGCCCTCTGGCAGACTCCAGTAGAGGACATGCTCCCATCTTGCTCTTCACCAGTTTGGATCTGTTGACACAATGGGGTTCATAACACACTACCCCAAAATGTGGCACCATGGCATATTGAATATCTTAAGCTGACGGAGTTTGAGAAAATGGCAGAAGCAGATCGCTCTGACCTCTCTGCCTCACCCTTATGCCCTGACACAGGCTGTAAAACTCCCATGTGAAGGGTGCCCTCCCTGTACCAGGAGGCATGAAGATGTTCTTATCACCAGAGACAGGGAATTTGGGGCCAAGAAATCTGTATAAACAAATCGTGTTAAATCCTTATCTTTCTAGTTACTTCTGCTCCTCTGCTTTGTCAGTCCTTCACAAATGTATAGATTCTTTGTCTAAAAGGTATAAAAGCTTCCTGCTCTGGTCTCTTCTTCTGGTCTTCATTCTCTTGTGACGGCTCCCATGGTAAAAATTCTGTTAATCTGTCTTTGTCAGTTTAATTTTCAGACCGAGCCAGGGTCCTAAGAGGGTCGAGGAAAACTTTTTCTTTCCCTACAGACACTTCTAGGATAAGTTTTAGAACCAGGTCTCTTTGTTTCTTTCCAGCTCTTTGGCTTGCACGCACATGCATGCACACACGCGCACACAAACACACCTTCCTGGATTTTTATTTGAATTGCATTTAACTTAAAGGTTACTTTACGGGGGGTTGGGGTGGGGGTGGATTCATTTATTTATAGTATCTTCCAGTCCTGATCATTTATTTCTCTTTTATTTAAGTCTTCCTTAATGTCCCTCAAAGTTTGATATTCTCTGTAACGGTGTTTCATGTCATTGAGTTTGTTCTTAGATACATTGTTCTGTTACACTGTTGTATATTTTCCCTTCTAATCATCTTTATGCCTTATTTCTTTTTCTTGCCTTACTGAGCTGGCTGGGGCCTCTGGTACTGTTAAACAAAAGTGGTGGTGTAGAAGGCACCCTGGCTTTATTTTGATCTCAAGAAGAATGTTTTCTAAAGTGTTACCATTAAGTGTGATGTTTACTGTGGGTTTTTTAGTAGATGACTCTTAACAGGTAAAGAGGTTCCCTTATATTTTTATTCGGCGTGGAATGTTTTTTGAATTGTGAATGGATGTTAAATTTTGTCAAATGCTTTTTCTGCATATATTGAGATAAACCGATTAAGAGAACAATAGGTGATAAATTTATTAACCATATTTTTCTAGTGTTAAATGATCTTGTATTCCTGTGATAACGTCAACTTAATAGTATTATACTTTTAAAATGTTGTTAGATTCTGTTTGGTAATATTATTTAGGATGTTTGCATCTTAGTTCCTGAGAAGAAAATTATAGGATTTCATTCATATACTGCCCTGATCAAGGTTTAGCTGACTGCATTGGATGGTTGAAGAGGGCTCCCTTTTTCTCTTTTCTGGAAGAGTTTGTGTCAGATTGGAATTTTTCCTTCCTTGAAGTTTAGAATTTACCAGTGATGCTTTCTGGGCCTTTTGGTTTGTTTCTTTGTTTGGGGAGTAAGGGTCGGGGGAGAGGGAGAGAAAGAGTTGGGGGAGGAAACATTTTACTAGTGATTCCATTTCTTTTATGTTAATAGGGTTATTCAGGCTTTCTATTTCTTCTTGAGTCAGTTTTGAGAACTTATATTTTTTTTCTAGGAAATTATCTGTGTAATTTCCATTTTCAAATATATTGACTTAAATTGATCACAGCATCCTCTTATCCAGAAATCTTATTTAAAAAAATGATATCCCATTTCCATTTCTGACAGCTTATTCCACCTCTTTGATCCCTCCCCTCTCTCCCCTGATCAGTCTTACCAGAGGTTTGTCAATTCTATTTATCTTTTGCAAGAGCAAACTTTTGGCTTTGTTGAGCCTCTCTAGTGCACTCATGTCTTTTTTTCTTCCCCTCATTTTATGACTTTTTTCTGTTTCCTTTCTTATATTTTATTTGGGTTGTTTTTTTAAAAGATTTTATTGGGGAATTGAAGGAGGGGAACAGTGTTGGGGAATTGGGGAAGGGGAACAGACAAATTGCTGTCCTTTTGTTCTTCAGTCTAGTTGTGGAGGACGTCGCTTTACTGGTCCATGTTGGTATTATCATTACACTCTTCCCGACTGAGGCAGTCACTCGCCGGCCATTGGATGGCCGCTCACAAAAGCTCACGCCCGCTGCCGACCAGCCCCACTGCAGCCTATGCCGTTGCCGTCACCGCATGGCAGCCCAGCTCCAGGTTGAGCTGTTGTTCACCATCTTAGCTGTAGAGGGTGCAGTATCACTGGCCCTCATGTGGGATCCGAACTGGGGCCCTGCTGCTCAGAGCTGGCGCCCCAAGCCAACTCCTAACCAACGCGCCACTCAGCTGGCCCTGGGTTATTTTTTTTTTGTTACCTTTACAACTTCTTAAAGATGAGTGTTTATTATAGCTTCTTAATTCCATCTCTCTTTCTAATATACATCATTTAAGATTATACATTTCCCTATAAGTACTGGTAAGTAATTATTGTTTAGTTCAAAATAATTTCTAATTTCCATTAGTTTTTGACCCATGGGTATATAAAAGTACATTTCTTAATTTGAGTTTTCACCCTTATTGTTGTCATGTATTACAGTTGTATCTTTTTAAAGCTATATAAGACAGGGGCCGGCTGAGTGGCTCAGTTGGTTAAGAGCTCACTCAAGAGTTTGAGCTCTGAGCAACAGCAGTTCGAGTCCCGGCCCGAGCTGAGCTGCCAACAGGTGGCGGGATGGCCTGGGTAAAAAAAAAAAAAAAAGATGTATAAGACATTGTTGTGCTGTTTCCTTACATATTTACCATTTTCTTTATTCACCATTCTTTTATAGTCCGAAGTTTAGACTTGAGTGTTTTTCTCCTGTCTGAATGAAGCACACCCTTAAACTTCCTTTAGTGATATTTTGCTGAAGTCAAACTTTTTAGTTGTCTGAAAAATATCATTTACCAAATTCTTAAAAGATATTTTCACTAGATATGGAATTCTGGGATAGCAGTTGTCTTTCAGAACCTTAAAGGTACCTTTCCCCACTGCCTTCTGGGTTCCCTCGTTTCCTTGGGAAATTGTTCTGTTGAAAGGTGATTTTTCCCTCCCCTTTTGGATACTTTTTTCTTTTTCTTTGGTGTTCTATAGTTTCATTGTTATGTGACCAGGTTTGGCTTCTTTTTTTTTTTTTAATAAAGATTTTTTTGGGGAATTGGGGAAGGGGAACAGCCAAATTGTTGTCCTTCAATCTTAGTTGTGGAGGGTGCAGCTAGCTCAGCTCCAAGTACAGTCGCCATCTGGCTGCCCATCGGCAGCTCGTGGCCACTCAACTCAAGGTGCCAAGTTCAATCTTAGTTGCGGGTGGGCATAGCCCACCATCCCATGTGGGAGTTCAACCGGCAACCTTGTTAGGAGCACGTGGTTTGGTTTTATTTTTGTTTATCCTACTTGGAATTATTGGACTTCTACTAAGTCTGTGTGTTGGTGTCTCTCCAATTCTGGAAAATCCTCAATCATTATCTTCAGAATATAGTGTCTCTGCCCCCGTTTTCTTCTCACTTTACTTTCTGTAAATCTGCATACATGTCTGTGCTTTTGGTGTCATATTCAAGAAGTCACTGCCAAATCCAATGTCATAAAAAATTTTACTATATTTTATTATAAGAATTTTATAGTTTTAGTTCTTACATTTATGTCTCTGATATATTTTGAGTTTATTTTTGTATATGATGTAAGGTAAGGGTCCAACTTCATTCTTTGCATGTGGATACCCAGTTTTCACAGCACCATTTGTTGAAAAGACTGTCCTTTCCCCATTGAATGGTCTTGGCATCCTTGCCGAAAATCATTTGACTTTAATACAAGGGTTCATTTCTGGACTGATACGTAATTTCTTAAAGATTAATTAATAGTGGATCCATCACTCATATTCATAAATGTCATGCTGCTCTGAGTCATTAATTCTGTGATTTGGGACAGGATGTACCCAGGGCTTCTGCTGGCCTCACTCAGGAGCCTTGCTGACTGCTGTTCCTTACACATTTCCTGAAGCCACACACGATATAAGATATATTTGATGAAATGTTTTTCTCAAATTATTTGTATGTAAAAGTAGTTTATCTGCCACTTCCAACTAAATTTAGAATGGTTAATGGTGATTAGGTATTAGTATTCTTTTTATGTACAATTAATATTAAAGAACTAGATCTTTAACTTCTTGTCCTGTCCACCCACCCCACCCCCATTCTTCAAAATGTGTACATCCTAAACATACCTTCTTGATGTATTTCATTCTCTCTATAACTCTATGTCTTGATTTGTTGACAGATTGTGACATTTTTCTCTCGTCCCAGCTGTGTGGACAGTGCCACACGCCCTCTGAACAACAACGGCTCTTGCGTGCATATTCCAGTGTTTCTTCTGTCAGAGAGCCCAGCAGAGCCATAATTCTTCCAGTGCCAGCCCAGGGCTGAGCGAGGAGTGCCCAGCAGAGATGGTGAAGATGACAAAATCCAAAACTTTCCAAGCTTATCTGCCAAACTGTCACCGAACGTACAGCTGTGTCCATTGCAGAGCCCACCTCGCCAATCACGATGAGCTGATCTCTAAGGCAAGTGGTTTGTGTCTAGAAATTGACCAGATATACTTAACAATGATTATCATACCTAATTAGTAGATGAATATTGAACTATCACATGACTTCCTAAAAGTCTAGAGCCTTCTGGGCAGCGTTGATGACAGTTTTGTGCATGATTGGGTGGCTGCACCATGATTTTGGTCATGATCTTTACACAGTGGGTAGGTTTGGAGGGCCAGGCAGCTGGGACTGCCAGATATCATGAAGAGCAAGATGAGTCAGTTATTTGTCAGAGCAGTAAAATTAGTGTGAAACCAGAGACACTGAAGGAACAAAGAAGTCTAGAAAATCTGTGGAAATAATTTAATAATAAAGGAATTAGAATTTTTTAAAAACTCAGAATGGTTAAGAAGAAAAGAGCTATAATATTGAATGTTAACTATAACTGGAAAAAAAAAAAAGAAGAAAAGAAGCTATCATGGGGGATATGGGGTCTTTCAGGAAGATGCCCAGTAGAGAAGCTGTGGGCACCCTGTAGGATGGGAGCAGCCTGGTAGCTGTGAAAAGAGCACGAGTCTTCTGTATTAAATTGAACATTTTATTAGCAAGCAGTGTGTAATGTTTATAATCAATCACTTATGAACATTTAAAACACTCCCGCTCCCTTGGGAAACAGTGACAGCCCCCACCCATCCTCACAGGGCTGCCTTCCATGAACCTCAAGCTCCTTTGCAAAAAAAGTCCGTCAGGAAGTTGTTCCTTTCAGGAATCTCCGCTTAGCCTTCTTGTTTCACTCAATTAGACAAACATTTATCTACTTGTGTTTTAACTAGGTAACAATGAGAGGTTGTCTCATTTCTGTTCATCATCTAAAATAAAAACTGTTAAACAAGGCAGAGTTTCTGTTCTCTCATTGCTCCTGTGGCTCCATTGTCCATTCAAAAGTTTCAGGTCAGAAGTAGAAGTACCTCAGGCACCTACCTGGTTTCTTGGTTGCTTTCCAAGGCAGAGCTGCTCCGGGGCCTCCGGGGTGGAGCTTTGTGGCTTGGCGGCCTTGCTGAGCTTGTGACACCTGAGCCGGTGTCAGTGGCAGGCACCATTGCGATCTTTGCTCTGAAGCATGCCTGAAGCATGCCTGCGGATCCGTCATGAGGTGGGCCAGAAGGAATCTGAGCTGCATCTTTCAAAGAACCCTAAAGCCATTAAGCTGTGTTTTAAATAACATCAAGAGCAGAGGCCTGCTAGGTGGAAACAGTCATGACATTGAGTGAGCATTTAAAGATGAAAGGGTGCTGAGAACCTAAACTCTCCAAGCACATAGGCTGCCAAGAGGTATCAGACTTGTGTTTCAGCTGCTGATAAAGTAAACTGCTGCTTTTTCTTCCTTACATTGTTATGCCATGACACCTACCACTTAGCGTAGAACTTAATTCATATGAGGCAAGAGATACTGTCCTGAGAGGGGTTCACCAGCCTCTCAGTCCATCTTTGCACTAACAAGCAGTCCCCTGACCCCAAGGATCCTTTTTTTCTTTTTTTA